AAAGGCTTAAGTGTGGGGGAATCTGATAAGTCCGTATTTAGACACGCATTTGATGCGTGTTGGGATTGGATTTTGATGGTTTTCCTAGATTTAAGGTGTTGCAAGTCTTAATTTTAGCTCAAGTTATGTTTAACATGTGTTGGTTCGAGTTTTGTTGCATTTGGAGTCAAAATGAGGAATTTAGAGTTCAACATCGGCACTTGAGGAGCAATCGGGATGATTCGAGATGCATTCGAGAGTGGATTGAGAGCTTTGGAGGTCACCGGGAGGTTCACGATGAAGATTTGATGACAAAAGAGCTCTAGGATTGGCTATGGGATCAAAAGAAGAACAATGAAGCTGGAAAAACGACGATCAGGATGACCTTTGGTCAATCGTTCAAGCATATCTCTTTGTAGAAGCATCCACAGGACACGATTCAAGTTGCATATGAAAGACAACTTCAAGGGCTACAAATCATATGAAGACACCATTACGAGAATATGAGAGAAAGAAGGTGAAAACAGACGATGAAGTCAGATGATCTCTGTTGCGATTTCAGAATGACACCTTCCACCATTTTGGTCATATCTCTTGATTGGATGATTCAAATCACATTCGGCAAGTTGGGGTGGATAGAGGACTTCATTATCTACAACTTTCATGAAGGAAGTTTTGTCAAATTCGGACTAGAAAAAAGGCTGAAGAGCACGGACGCACGACCGTGCGTAAAAGGACGCACGATCGTGCGTAAGAGCCAAAAACGCGGCAACAATTCTGCCTGCTACGCACGATCGTGCGTGGCAAGGTACGCACGATCGTGCGTACACCCGAGACGCGGATTTCAGCCCTTTTTTAGTCCCAGTTCAGCCCAAACTCATCTGTTTTCTATAAATAAGACCCCATACCCATATTTTGACGTTACGAACATTACGGAGAGGCCTAGGGACGAATTTAACACCGTTTTTACGCTATTTTCTTCCAAGACCCTGGGATTATTTGTAAGTTCATCTTTTTAATTAATGACAATTATTTCTATTCATCCCAATTCTGTTGATTCTTCAATTATGAATTGTGAGTAGTTTAATTAGGGATTTGGGGTTGATGAAGGGGTTAATCATGATTGATGGTTAGATTCTTGTCGGTTTAATTGCATGAATGCCGTTTAATTTGTGTTTGAATAATTTAATTGATATCTCTTGTAACCTAGACTGCAGCTAGAATTACAATTGCATGTAGAATGAATTAAGAGAGATCTAATTTGTTCTAGGACACATTCACACGCACTTAATCGTTCGCTAAGAGATTAGTAGCGATTAAGGGGCCGTAAGCTCGCTCGTCTTGGCAATAATTTAGGATCCTGTCGCATGAGAGATCAGCCTGGTCTCCTAAATTATTGTACTCTACGCCGCGAGAGCGGTAAGAACTTAGTAATGATTAGCTAGACTCAATTAAATTAAATTCATGTAATTAGGCCTGATCTGCCAGAAATCTGGTTACCCCGGAATCAATCCCTATTCCCTTCGTCATTAATTAGAGAGAAACCAATCTTTTTATTTTATTGCTCATTAGCATTAGTTTTAATTTAATCAATCAACCAATCTCGCACAATTGCACTTTTATTTTATTTATTTCTGTTTAATCGCTGAATTTAGTTAATCTTTAATTCCCTTTTGTCCGTCCCTGTGGAGACGATACTCGTACTTACACCACTACATTACAATCTTTTTAAGTGCGAGAATACTCACATCAGTTATGAACTGCATTAATAGTCACGAATCCACACTTTTCTACTCCACTGCTCATACACTGTTTACCCACACAGTTTAAACACACAAATTTATTATATTAGACCCCACTTGTTTTCACCGTTTTGAGTGAAACGTTAACCCAAACAACCCCTTAACCAGTGTTTGCCTTTGCTTAAAATAAGTGATTTTCAGCTTTTAGATTAAAAAAGCTAAAAAAAGGTGTTTGTTAAACACAACTCTTGATTAAAAAAAACTTTTAAGTTAAAAGGTAGAAACTGAAATATACTAGCTTCAAAGTGCTTCTAGGTATTTTTGCAAATAATTCCAACTCTAAGGATAATCCTAATGACTTATTTTTTAACTTCAACCCAAAATATCCTCCCTTCTTCCCTATTTTCTCTCCCCTACGTACCATTCTGTATCCCATCATCCCCTTCACCGTTTGTCTTCACCCCCAATAAACAACCTGCGCATATATTACATACATACACGCATATATATATATATATATATATATATATATATATATATATATATATATAGAGAGAGAGAGCTCTTCTCATCAGGCCGGCCTGACGGGCTGCCCCGTCCGGCCGAGCCCGTTTGGGCACCTTCCCGGTGGAATTTTTTGATGGAATTTTTTGAGCATGTTCCTCATCAAGTCTAGTTTGTCCATACCAAATTTCAGCTCAAAATTCGATCGGGAAGGTCGTCAAATGAATTTTGCAAGTTAACTGGTCCGGAATATGTATTTTCCGGACCAGTTAACTTGCAAAAATCATTTGACGACCTTCCCGATCGAATTTTGAGCTGAAATTTGGTATGGACAAACTAGACTTGATGAGGAAAATGCTCAAAAAATTTCATCAAAAAATTCCACCGGGAAGGTGCCCAAACGGGCTTGGCCGGACGGGGCAGCCCGTCAGGCCGGCCTGATGAGATGATTTCTATATATATATATATATATATATAATGGAAAAAATGAAGTTTTGTTATGAAATTGTAGGGGTGAGAAAGCACTTTGCAGCTCTGAATGTAGAAACAGACACATATTGATTGACGAGTACTATGAGAAATGTAGTTCGGAGATTTCAAGGTCTGTAGATGTTTCGAGCTCAAATGGAGGTTGCTCGTGGATTGCTCTTGTACTTATCCCTTTTGGATTGCTCTTCTAAACAGTTGCTCATGGGGTTCGTGGCTTTCGGATTTCTCTAGGTTTTTTTAATTAATGGGGTTGTGGATTTCCGATTTGTGGCTGGACAGATGGTTCGCAAGTTGGATGGTGTGAAAGGTGGGGAACAAGAAGATAAATGAATAGGGGTTTGAGGGTATGGTAATCGCAGCATCTGGTCTGGTAATCGCAGGGTAGATGAGTGAAATGGGGCAGTCTGCAAACAAGTAAAATATTAAAGGAAAAGAGTAGTTTTGTACTTTACAAAAAAACTACATCAAAAATCATTTTCTTATCAAACACTCCAACTTTTACATTTTAACTAAAATCACTTCTATTTCCAAACACTACCTACTTTTACTACAAATCACTTTTCCAATAATCTCTTAAAAAAATCACTTCAAAAAAGCACAAGCAATCGCAAACACTCCCTTAGTATAATTCCATAATTATGAACTAATATAAATAGGGGAGAATAGTATGCATTCAAATATATAAAAAAAACATATTAGGTGGTGGCCGGAGGTTAGCCGACTATGTAACTAGTAGTGAATTACTTGGAGATACTTATCTAGAGCCGATTTTATGAAGTTTTGATTGAAACTTTGGCTGATTTATGAAAAAATTATATTTAAAATATATTTTATTAATAAAATAAATAAAAAATTATATGAAAAATAGTTAAAATGATCCTCTATAGTAACTTCAGCCAATACAGCCAGAAAAGTAACTACAACCTTACTTTTTTCTTATTAGTACACAATTCAGTGTTGAAAAAAGTGTCAATAAAATGCATTAAATGGTCATTTTGGGGCAATATTTTGAGTGGGGTCCACTTCCTATTTGGGTCGGGTCAAAATGGTTTCAGATTGTCCTTGCTAAGGGCTACAATTAGATTTGTGGTATACTCAAAACGGATAACGGGTGAATGAGAAATTGATTCTCGAAGTTCACTCGTTGAAATGGAGAAAAATGAGAAAGATGGGTTTCTAGTGTGGTTTTTTCCCACACTGGAAAACCCAAGGGACTTTGAACCCCTTATCAAGAGAAGCTTATACTTTGAACCCCTTATCAAGAGAAGCTTATTCTAAGGAGTTAAGATTCTTAGGTGGAAAGGCTCTATTTGTGCGCAGGGGATGCGAATCAAATCCCGAAACTGGAAAACAAAAAAGTGCGACTTGCGTGTGCGGGCGATCTGCGGACACGAATGTCATCCGAAAATCTATCTCGGACCATTGATGTCCAACGTTCGGATCATTAACACACAACAACAACAAATCTTCCCTGTTTTTTCTTTGTCATTTAAGTTAATTAATTTTTCTTGGTTTTTTGAAACACACCCAACATTCAGTACGTGAAATTAAAAATTACGTGTTTGGTGAAAAAATGGCTGATAAACCTGATAAGCTGAAAATCAGGGTTACTAAACGGGCTCGTATATATAAGTTAAATTAAAGATGATGGACAAAAATGTGACATGTTATATAAATCGCTTATTTTAACAATTTTTAAAAGCTATGTTTGAATTCAATCTTACACAATAATGACCAGGAAGTAACACACACATAAATATAGTACTCGTAACATTCACATTTTTATTCATACTCTTTAAATAAGTAACATTTTAGCAAATATCTCGTTATATTATTTAGCTGAGTTTATTTTAAAACTATAAAGTAATTAAGCGACATTCCCTTGAGAAAGTGAATAACGTTTATCATAATATAAAGCATAAAGCTCCAATGTGTTTATATATCCTACTAAAATAAGCTAAAATTTCAATGTTTTTTACTTTTTTCATAGCAAATGGGAAAGCATGTACACCGTGAAATCAGTTATTCCTCAATCCTCAGTCCCGTTTGCCTAATTAACGCTCTTCGAGGTAGGCTGATGTAATTAAATTCTACTCCGTATCTTTTTCGTCTTGTTGATTGAAAGACATATATTCGAACATAACTATTATTTCACCTCTAATCTTATCTCAGTTTCCAATTATTTTGAACAAAGGTAAAAATTCCAATTGTTATTTTTTTCGAATATTTTCAAACAGTTGTATTCGCATTTAGCAGACACTAAAAGTACACCTCTTGAAACTCACCCAAATTCCAATTGAATTTAATCTCCAATTTGTCTACAGAATTAACTTACACTAACGGTACTTTCTAAAATTCTTCCTAATTTAAACCCAACCAGTCTCCTCCATAGCTTCATCCTGAAAGCAGCAGCTAGGTAAAAAAAAAAGTAAAAGAAAACAAAGATGGGCAAGAAAACGAAATTCAGATATTGGCCATGGTACAGATGTGGCAATATCTATCCCAAAACACTTTGTTTCCGAGCAGAAAATCTGGATATTGATGATCATACATCAGTACTATCATTATCATCATCTTCTTCAGACCCATATGATGATGGTGATTACGTTGAGGATGTGATTCGTGGGCTGAGGTCCGAAAGGCTCTTGTTCGGGCCGGGTGGGGAAAAATCATCCAAACTCATGGAAGAAGAAGATTTGGAGGCCGTCATGGAGGGTGAGAAGGGGTTTGTTTTGAAGGGAAGTGTGGGAGTGGAAACAATGGTTTCTAGTAACCCCTTTGTGGACTTCAGAAGATCAATGGAGGAAATGGTCGAAGCACACGGACTTCAAGATTGGCGTTTTCTTCAAGAGCTCTTGGGTAGCTACTTGAAAATCAATGGGAGAAGCAGCCATGAGTACATAATTGGAGCTTTTCTTGACTTGTTGGTTCACCTATTGGGAAATGAAGCAACACATGATGATTATGATGTTAATGATGATGATGCCATTGTTGCTTCTTCCTCATCATTTACATCTTCAAGGAGTTCAAGTGCTTGTGGCCATTGGTTGTTATCTTCATTTTCATCATCTTCTTCTCCTTCTTCATCTATTGTCCCATCTTCCCCTTCCCCTTCAATACCTTTTTGTTCCACTCTTATTCCAACTACTACTCTTTTGTCTTTGCTAGAGGAAGGTGAGGATGATTGGATTGAGAAATCCATAGACAATAACAATTAATGCATCTTCAATTCACATTCAATTCTCATTTTGTTTCATTTAAAATAGTTCGCACAACAGATTTGTATGATTAGAAACACATAAAACTCATACAAGTCTCATTATAAAACTGTTTGTAACCATTTGATCAGTTCTAAACGGTGTTACAAACTTAGAAACTAAAGTTTTTCGTGCTATTGAATATGTATTTTATGTTTCTACGGAGTATGTTTTATTGGAGTATGAAGCTATAGTGAATGCATACTTTTTCTAACATGTGTGTATATTATGAAGCTTAATGTATTGTTGTCCAAATTTATAAAATTATAAATATGGAGTAGTCATTGCATTAAACTTATGATATGACGCCATACATTAAAGTTTAAATGGTTGCTAAATGAAGAGTATGATAGCTAGCTAATACTCTAGTATTAGCTAGCCATACACCGAGTAACACTTTGAAAAACTGCAAGTATTAAAACTAATTACGTCTTACTATACTTGAACTGAAATTGAGTGTGTACTTATATAGTTATCCTTTTAGCAAAGTTTTGTAACCTGTTTTAATAAATTCAATTGAAACATTTTTTGAGATTTTGAGTGATAAAAATTTTGGTTAGGAGTGGGGCTTGATTTGAATACCCAATGGGGCTGGTTTGGGACTGCTTTAATTTTTTACTCCCGTATATCTGATACAGAACTACTCCGTATGTTGTAAAAACATGATCCGGAAAGTGGCCCGACCAAAAGACTGGGTCACAGGTCAACCCGGACCCAGTGGCTCAATCCGGTCAACACTCAATAATACTTCGTATGTATTATTATTATCATCATCGATTATTAATTTATAATTACCAAAAAAATTCAAGTTAACGTTTCAAGATATAAAATGATCTGATGCTTCAAATTTCATGCAGACAATTCGAAGGCCACTATGATGGAATTTCACGTTTTATTTCTAGTTTTTCTACATATATTGGGTTTCAATGGGTCAGTTCTTTGTAGGGTTCAATTGGGTCGCCAATTAATTCTGGTTTTTACTATATTTATGGGTTAGTAGCCATCCGGAGCGAGTAAGGTGTCGGGTCACTCGGTAGCGGCAGACCCAAAGGGAGACTAATGAGCCCCCCATAAATATTCCCTGTTATTTTTACCATGAAATTTTAATATATACTACCTCCGGTTTTTTTTAATGTTCACAGTTTGACTTCACACAAAATAAGGAAAGAAATTTGACTTTACTGTAGAGTACACTGTTGAGGCACTGTTTGACACTGTTTGGCACTGTAGAGACACTGTTTGGCACTGTTGAGACACTGTTTGGCACTGTTTGGCACTGTTTTGATGTAGATTTCTTTGCCAAAAAAGGAAATAAGGAAGTGTGAAGTTTATTTTAGACCGTCTCAAAAAGGAAAGTGTGAAGTTTATTAAAAACCGGAGGGAGTACTATCGTAAGTATTTGTATGTATTTTTTTACACCGCCGTCCCTCCTAACGGGATTTCTTGCGTCCACCGCCATTGCCCGATCCGGCACGGGTCTTAGAGCATAGATATAGAATGAGTGATAATTACAATTTATGTTTAACGGATCTATTCGGGATTGGCAAATTCTTGAAAAATTCCAGACCAAATGGCAAATATATGGTACTACCAAGTAGTTTTGTAATATGTGAAAATTTAAGCTTTTGAATAAAATTCTGAACTTTTGACAGATGAATCTATGTAGGTATTTTTTGATCTTTTTCCGCCGATCATATTCTTCACAAAGAAGAAATTCACTATCCTCCGTTGCCCTCATCGCCACACTCGGTTGATCGGAAATCCACCGCACCGAAGTCGTGCCACCCTCACCACGGTGCTATGCCTCAAGCTCTGAATTTTATTTTTATTTCCCCAAATCATCAATTCAAATATAGATCTATATTTTTAGAAAAGTTACAATGTTATTAAGAACTCCTCTGAAGTTAATTTCTCTCTAGGGTTGCCGTCTTCAAAAGTTTCTTTTGCAGTCGTCTTCAGACGGTGATCAGTTTGGCGCGAGGCAACGCCTAGCTTGGATTGTCCGGCGGTGAATCGGTGATCAGTTTGATCACAGCGCCGGTGTTCGTTTCTTTCTGTTTTTCCCGGTTTGGAAGGAGCAGTGTTTCGAGCTCGTTTGCAGTCCTATCACGGTTGTTGAAGAAGCCGAAATTGCAATTTGCTTAAGTATGATTTCAAGTCGAAGTATGATTTCGATTCAGCGGAAAGGGATGTCAAAAGAGGATATTGTCACTCAATACAAAAGAATGACTATTGAGACGGATGAGCGGTGGGCGCGTCCCCCTCTTGAGCCGTCGCCATGGAGTGCAAGCAACGTTAGAGTTTGGAAGAAGATGGGTGAACTATGTTCTAATTCCGTTTTATTCTGTGTGTTTATCTTTCAAATTCCATGTTGTTTTGGACGCGTTTTTATTTCCTAGCAGAGAGATTCTAGATTTTAAGTTAGGTGATGAGGAGTTTGGTTTGCTAGTCATTGGCTCAGTTAAGCCCATTACAGAATCACCGAATATTATTGTTTCTACAGAGGTGATATATTCTAAGTCTGGTTCGGGGGCAGACGACAACCATAAAGTTTTTTATCGTTTTGTTTATTTATTTTTCTTTGATTGTATTATCAGCTATGTAGCACCGATACCGGTACGCGGAAACGCGGAAACGCGGAAACGGGTACGGGGATACGTCAAAACCAAAAAAAGTAGGATACGGATACGGGGCCATATTTATAAATATTAAAAGTTATAGGGGTCTATTTATAAATATTAAAAATAGATTTTTTTTGAATATATATATATATATATATATATATATATATATATATATATATATATACATACATATAATATGCTATGATGTCTACCCATTCATTGCATTGAAACATTTTCCTTTTTCAAGATACTTAGTAATAAATTCATAATATTTCTCATATACACTAGTGTATCTCGAAATATAAATGTAGTCAATAAGTCATTAATTTAAAATGAGAAATAAGTCAAACAACTACAATCTTGAAATTAAAAGTGCAAGTACCCAATTCGGAGTATGAGTTAATGACTTAATTCGGATATAGCCATATAGGCCCATTATTTGATTACCAAGTAAAATGTAGTTTTAGATTTTCATTTTTTTTAGAATTTTATTAAGTAAATTTTGGGATTTTTTTTAAAAAAAAGTTGATACGGGTATCCGTCAGGATACGAGTATCGGAAACTTTCCAAAAATTACAAAAAAAAGTGGAAACTTTTAAAAATTGCAGATACGGCCCGGGAACGCACAGTACGGGTATCCTAGAGTATCGGATACGGGAGCGTATCGGATACGCCGATACGCTACCCTAGGGAAGTATCCGTGCTTCATAAATTATCAGTCATGTGACGAACATTATTTTGATTTAATATATTAGTTATATTTGATGATAAAAAATACAATGTTGTTAATTTTATACGTAGTACTCTCTCCGTCCCATAAAATAGTTCCCGGTTTCCTTTTTGGGCCGTCCTAAAAAATAGTTCACATTTCCTTTTTGTAAAGGTTTGTGTGGCTCACATTCATTTACTTTTTTCTTACTCAACTATAACCATACATTTTCATTTTATTCCTACTTTTTTAAACTCTGATCTCAGTCAATGCGGGAACTATTTTAGGGGATGGAGGGATTATTTTATGTGGATTCGGATCCTCTGCCATAAGGCAGAGTACCTTGCGGCATCCGACGGCAGGGAGGGGAAGAGGATGGCCTCGAGATTGGGGAAGGACTGGAGCCCAAGATCTTCGACCATCCAATCTCCGATCGAACGGCCCGGAAAAACCGGGCACCCTACCTTGCTTTAAAGCAAGGCAGAGGCCCCGGATCCATTTTATGTTGGACCAGTCTTCCCAACCTATTCCGGAACAATAATTTCAGCCCACCAGTTATACGGGTCATGTCGGTACGACGGCAGGTGTACCGGCCCGCTAGCCGCTACATCAGATTATCTGCCACTTTAACTGCCAAATGTGATCACCCGCATCCCGTTTCCCGTACATCATTATTGTGTCATTACGTGTCGAAAAGAGCAGAAGGCGTTGAAGGCAAGAAATCTCAATTTCTGCCCAATTCCATATCCAAATCCACGTAACCCCCGTCCAGCTCGTCTTTCACGTTCACATAAATAACCAACAAACACAGAATGTATACCCGCAGTCCTTCAATGCTCCATCTTCTCTAAGCTAGTTTCTCTCTTCTTCTCTACGTCTTGCCGTTTGGTACGCAATTTCTCTCTGATCTCCTCCATTATATTCTTCCTTTCTCATTTCATCTAAAATAAGAAACCAAAGTATATAAAACATTACATTACTTTCTTCTAATCTTCTATCACATTTAGAATGAATTATCAACTCTTTGTACTCTTCAATTCCTATTGTTTAAACTGTGGATTTGATTTGATTGCACCGTCTGATCTTATATTTCCTTTAGATCCGCAATTTCTTTCGGGAATTACGGAAGCTTGCTTCTGGTCTGGTTTTCTTCTGCTTTTGGAAAAGGTTTAGTAGCTTCACTGGGGGTTTTCCCCGTTCTTATGGTTGATGAGTTATGATTGGGAGGTTTCAAGTTTGGTTTTGATGAATAATTGATCCAATGCGTTTTTAATTCCTTGTAGGGATCGGAATCTGCTGAAGATGTTGGGAGAATTCATTGCCAATAGCCTAGTGTATGTGTATATTTAGGCCTCACTTCCTTTATTAGTCGGACTAAAATTGTTTTTCACAAATCTATAAATTAAATTTAATGTTGAACGTTACCGTGCTCTGTACTCACAAATAAGTGAATCCTACGTATATTATTATTATATTCTAAATCCGCAATGCATATAACTAATCTATTTCATTATTTTACCATCTGTTTAATACTATCTTCGTAACCCTAGAATCTTCCCAGTTTAACTCTTTTGGGTCAAACTTTATAAACTTTGACCATTAATTATTCAAAACTTACATTATGTTATGATTAAAAATTTATTTTATATACCTCATTGTAAAACATATTATTGGAATGTTAATTTATTATGAATTTTATAAATATAGATATGTAGATATTTAGAGTCAAAGTTCAACTTAGAAGACCGTGAAAAGTCAAAATGGGAAGATCTTTGTGTTAAGGACGTAGTATTTGTTTATAATATTCTAATTGATTCTTGGGAATAAATTTGGATAATAAATTCATTTTTTGAAAGAATTTGTGTCAATTGAGATTGTACAGTAAATTAAGGACATGGATCTTTGTGTTACGGACGTAGTATTTGTTTATAATATTCTAATTGATTCTCGGGAATAAATTTGGATAATAAATTCATTTTTTGAAAGAATTTGTGTCAATTGAGATTGTAGAGTAAATTAAGGACATGGAATATGTATTGGTCATTTGGTCTTATTTATAAAGTATTTGTATATTTTGAAATTACTTCTGGTCACACGCTTTGGATCGAGGGAAACATTTTCTTTACATTCTTTTTGTCCACACATCTGCTAAGGTTTTGATTCTTTGTGTTCCGTTCTTTAGTTTTTGCTTTAATTCATGCTTTATCTGGGATCTACCTTATTTTTCTGTTCATTCAATTTGAGTTGTGGTTGAATGTATGTGCTGGGTTGTTCATAGACTGGTCCTTGGGTATGCCTACCCTGCTGTTGAATGCTTCAAAACTTTGGACAAGAACAGAGGTGATAATGCACAACTCCGCTTTTGGTGTCAATATTGGTATGTACAGTCTGCCAACCATTACAACTATTAGAACATGAAAAATGTGCGGCGTACACAAAAGTTGTACACTTTTTTTGTACACTTGTTTGTCCCCGGAGACAAGAGTTGTCTGTAGACAAACAACTTGTCTATGGGGGACAAATAAGTGTATAAAAAAGTGTACAACTTTTGTGTACACCTAGCTCAACCCACTAGAACATTTCTAATGCAAAAATTTGAACGCACATATATAACATGCAAGAGATAAATAAAAGTTAATTTAACAAAACATCTTTATCTTTAAACAGACATTCTTCTCTATTTTTAGTTATTATTTCTCAACAAAATTGAATACAACATTTAAACGTAGATATTGTGTTTGATATCGTTTAAAAATGATAATTAAAAATACAGAAACATGTGTGTTCCGCTATTTTTCGCAGTTTCATAAAAATACTCTAGGATTAGTGGATTACATCATGCCTCGTTATACTATCCATATAATAACATACAGAGTATCATCTTTGCCCGCTTGCCGCCTTTCTTTGTTACCAATACATGTAACCCACAAGTCCACAACACCCTTGAAAAGATCATCATTGAACTCCCAAACACACGCTATGATGTTCATACTCGGGTGGAGCTAGGGGTGGGCCAATCTAGGCCATGGCTCACCCCAAATTTTAAAAATTACTTAATTTTTAAGGTAAAAAATTTCGTATAAGTTTTTTTAAAAATATTCTTTGTACTAGTCTAGTCCGGCCTAGTGTCCTGGCTCCGCCCCTAATCATACTTATCTGTCCATTGTCCACCCCGCAACTAATTTTCCTTTGTCACTTCATGAATTATACGGAGTAACGATTAACGCTCTCACAATTACATACGAAGTACGGGTATATGAGTACGATGACTATTCTGTACTTTTTTCTCGGGAGGAGTAGAAATGCAATAAAAACTTGAAACTTCTAACGAGGACATTTTAGATAAAGTATAACTTGTAAAAAGAAAGTTTAATGGATATGCAATGTTATTAGATTTTTCTTGATTTGTAACATATCGTCAATCTAGACGGATAAATAGTAAGGGGAAGTAACACAATTTAACATTCTATAGGTTACCTTTTACCTCTTTTAAGCACTTATCAGAACATACATTGTTCAAACAACACTTTCTTCTTCTTTCAACTTATACCCTTTTCAATGTTCAGTATGCAACTAGTTTATTTCATTTACTATGTACGATAATTGACCAATATGATTAAGAGAGCGTTTGGCAATACTGTTTTTCGGCTTATCAGTCAATTTTTTCACCAAACACATAACTTTTGGTTTCGCGTGCTGAATTGTGTATTAAGCAGAAAAAGTAAGGCTGTAGTTACTTTTCTAGCTGTATTGGCTGAATTTACTATAGAAGACTATTTTATCTATTTTTACATATATATTTTTCTTTATTTTATTAATAAAATATATTTTAAATTTTTTTTCTTAAATCGGCAGAATCAGCCAATGCAGCCACTTCAGTCAGAACTTCATAAATTTCAGCAGAATCAGCCAAAACAACCGATTTTGGTGCTACCAAACGGGCTCTAAGTCAATCCATTTTTAAAAATTCATAAAGCGGCATTAATTAATAAAAAAAAAGCAGAATCAATATTTACAATTAATATATTCAGAAATTAAACTGTCGTAAAAATTATACTAAAGCGAAAAAGTAAAATTTAAATTTAATAAAAAAAATGAAACTCAAATTTTCAGCACGAAAAAATTTACCGTGATAACATGAATCGTAAACTTATAAAGTGTAGTCGGATTGAGAGAAAATTATTATACGAATATTAATCAAATAAAATGATAATGTCGGTTCATTTAAAAAGTCTCGATGTGTGATTTTTAAATAGGTTATACTGATTTAGTTATATTGAAATAAATATTACAAGAAATAATATTTATCAAAATAATTAGTATGTACTCTCCACCCACTAAATGTGCCATCTTTTTCATGTAGAATAAGAAAAGTAAAAGTTAAGAACTTGAGGCTTTTGCACGAAAAGAGTAATAATATAACCCAGAGATTTGTTCATATAAAGGATAATCTGAGATTTTTTTTTTTGGATTGAAATAAACAAGCATATTTAAGCTTTTAATAAGTGTTTATAGTTTTGAAGTTTTCACCATGAAAAATTGGTTGTCTAAAGTCACATTTTTTTATTGTTGAAGGATTATTGTGGCATTGGTTCGAGTTTTGGAGAGTATTGGGGATCTGTCTATATCATGGTATGAACTATGCATCTCAAAACGTTAAACTTGTTTTAATTCCACCCTGTTTTTGTTCATAATGAGTAAAAGTTTATATTTTTTGAACTCTTGGTGTATTGCTCTGTTAGGATGCCAATGTATACCGAATTGAAGTTGGCACTTTTCATTTACTTGTGGCATCCCAAAACTAAGGTATAGTAAAAATTTAGTCATGATATATGTAGTGAAAAAGACAATATTGACACGGCCTTGTCACATATTGATCAAATTTGGCACATAACATAACATGTTTTTGGAATGGTGTTGTTCCAAATAGTTTGTGACAAAATGGCATTGACACGGAATTTGATATGAACTCTTTGTATTCATGCTAAATCTGTGTCAAATATCCTATGAATTTTGACAAATCCGTGTTAATTCTATTGTTCTTTTGTAGTGTTTGACAGAATTTTTTAGAATAGCTTCTCAAAAAATATCTTAAATTTAAAATAGTTCCTTGAACATGTCTATTTGAACTTAATCATTTCATGTAGGAATATAATGTGTAATTACCGAAATTGTAATCGTATTACACGAAATGAGTGCAGGGGACAACATATATTTATGAATCATTGTTGACACCATTCATAAAAAAGCATGAAGTGGATATTGATGGAAGATTCTCAAATTTTAGAGAAGCAGTGTGGAACATGGCTATGTATTATTGGTACAATAGCACCGAATTAGGACAGTCAAAGATCTTTGACTTCTTCACTTCTCCATCCAAAAAAGGATCCCAAAAGAGTTCCAAGGTAAATTCGGAAATAAGATTATTTCATGGGGGCTAATTTCAAATTTGTCACAACTTAATTTCCAAAATCATTTAATTGACCCTTCTTGCTATCGTATAGAAGAAGGATGAAGACAGTCGTTACGGTGGATCGCCACTGCCAGCCCCACCAAGCTCGTCTTCTTTTGGCTTTTTCAAGCGGAAGTCATGTGACAAGCGATGACGGTCACCGCCGGTTTATCCTTCGCCGACCCACCGGACCGTATCACAGCCGGTTAAGACGGCTTTGGTCGAAATTCCATTAGCCCAACTAGGAATTGTATTCAATGGCTGTATGTGGTTCTTGGTAAATACACATATAAGTAGAGGCTTACATAATATAGATATACTTATTTTAGGAGATTTATATATATACAAGAAAAAATTGTAGATGTACAAGATAGCTCAGTTGCAGTCAAATTTAGAATTTAGTAATTAAAGAGTGTTGTTGCTGTTGGAATGGCCTTTATCAATTCATCAAACTTCGCGATTCTTTTATTGGAGTTATAGCTATTGCTCATGATTAATTTCAACAATTTACGAGTATTGAAACTCCACTACATTTATTATTGGAAAGATCTTAAATAGCATTGTGCTCAATCAGTTCAATGACAATATTTAGAGATAACACTAGAATTGATTGAATTAATTTTACAGAAATTTATGAAGTTTTGACTGAAGTTGGATTGACTAATACGGAGTAAAAAATTTACTCTGTATATTTCAAATATTTTTTAGTTAATTAATATAATAAGAAAAAATTATATAAAAACAACTAAAATGATCCTTCATAGTAACTTCAATCAATCTAGCTAGAAAGTAATTCCAACTTACTACTTTTGATAATTACATAAAGTACACGTGAAAACAAAAGTTACATATTTGATAAAAAAAATGACCAATAAAAATGATAAGCCCAACATCAAAGACGATAACAAGCTCTTAAACATTATTAGATAATCACTAGATTCAATTTGACTTAGATAATCTTAAATATATTTAATGGCCCGATTAGATATTTAGATAATGAGAGTGTTTGGTAATGACATTTCAGTCAAAAAATGGCGTTTTCAATAACATTTTTGGACAGAAACGCTGAAATGAAAATGCTACAGATAGGAGAGTTTTAGGTTAGAGTTTTGAAATATGACGTTTCCTATTAATTTTATGGTCAAACAGTTAAATTACCAAACATTTTCTGACAATCCACCTCCTTATTCCGCTAGTCAAACTCGCTTATTGAATCCGCTATTGACAACCTGCTGAAATAATTACTATCCGCTAACCACTAAATGTCAAACACGTCTAATAGAGTATATGGGCCCGAACTCCATGACTCACATACTTAGGGGATTAAAACAAGACATTTGACACCACATGGCCCTCCATGGGCCAAAATTCAAAATACAGCCGAAAGGCCCAGGAACAAAAAGGGTCCTCCGTTGGCCAAGCCCTTCTTCAGCCTGGTCCTCCGTTGGCCTCAAAGGCCCCGACAAAATGTATTTTGTACTTATTAGTCAAATAAATCATGTACTTAGCCCATTAGAGACCTTATTATTGTAATGATCCTCCTAAGCCCAATGCTAGGAGCCCAAATTCACATTTTCCCCCCTATAAATAGTCCCTTAGGGGTAGTTATAGGGGATTGAGAAATATCAATTTTTTCCCTTTCTCTCTCTATCTCTCTCGTCTTTCTAAGATTAATACTCTATCAACGTCCAATATCAAATTTACATGACCTTTTAAATATGCTTAAGATTTTTAGTACTTCCAGGATTTATATATCTTGTGTTATCATTGATAATAGAATTGAACCTTGAAATAAGCTGACTAATGGACATGTAATGGCAGCGCAATTATTTTGTTAACCGAACGTTTTTTCGAAATATTCGTGTTTTATTTACAGTAAAAACTTAATTCATTTCATTATTAATAATGTTGATAATACAATGAGGAATATGATGAAAAACCATGCTAGAAGCAAAGATGATAGATGACCGTGCTAATGGATGAGCACTACCGTTAGCTTCACGCCTAGTAAAAACAACCTCAAAGTTGCTATGACTCTCAAGAATGGCTCTACAGTCCCTGATGAGAGCTCTGTATTCTGTTCTGGCCACCTTGTCCAAATGCACATCTTCCACAACTTGTTTCGAATTCATTTCGAAGATAATCTCATCGTTGCTAAAAAAATTCATCCAACTCATAGCTTGTCTTAGTCCCCATGCTTCAACTTCAGACGGAGATAATGCAGCTCTACACCACTCGGTTTTAGCTATTCGAAAGTGACCCTGATAGTCCCTCACGCAACAGCCTGTACCTACTCTCTTTCCTTCATAAAAAATGGCAGCGTCCACATTTTTCAGCTTCCTTCCCGTCGGCGGACTCCATTTAGTGACATTAACAATCCTACCTACTCTGGCCGTATTTCCTTTGCGAGCACTTTCCCAGGCATGTAAAACCTCAGCTCCCCTGTGTATCACTTCCAGCCAGGGGCGGAGCCAGAACAATGCGTGAGGGGGGTCGGAATTTATTAATATACAGTATCAAAATGATGGATAATTATATGATATTTCAGTTAAATGTTTCATATGTAGCTGAGATAAATGATAGTTTAATGAGCATTTTTCGGTTAGTGTATTAATATATATGTAATGTATCATAATGTTCACACAACTAATGACCGAATAAGGTGATTTATTTTTAAATTTAAGAATATAATCAACGTCACATATCAGATTTTGCTTATTTCAAGTTAAGATGGTGCTGATTTTTCCAAAAGTCATAACTTTTTACCCATAATGAGTTACGAGACCCATAATATATCAAATCGAAGGTATTTCAGAGCTCTACGTTCTTGAACTTTCAGCGGGGTCGGCTGACCACCCTGACCCCCCTTGGCTCCGCCCCTGCTTCCAGCGGTGTATCCCGTCGGCCCTCCATAACCAGCATGAAACATTCGTGTTGAGCTTTTGAACCTCATGAAGTAACAAGCCGCACTTAATGAACTTCTAACTTGAGCAAGAATAAGGTTTTTAGTTTGAATACGTCTACGTGTTTGGTACAAGCTCGAGCCTATCGCTTGTAATTATAGAAAAAAAAAATTATACTATCTATATGTTAAAGTTTAAACATTTATAGTATGATTTTATAAATTTAAATATGGGGTTAACAAAATGAGAAATTGCCGAATAGTTTGAGCACAAGTCTATTATTTCTATATTCAAACAAATTTGTCAAACTTATCGTGCGTTCAAATTAAACATATATCAAATCAAAGATCAAGCTTTATTTATAAAACTTATCAAGTTTAGAGTTCAAAACCGGACACTACAAATAGCACTAGTGCACTACAAAACACTTTCGACCCCAATCTATTTTGACAAGCGGCATAGCAAGAGAGCTAACCAAGGTCCTATCCACCGCAAATTTCAATTTTATTTGAATTATTAAGGTAAAGAAATTGTGTAAAAAACTTTCAAAATATTCTTTGTACCGACGCATCTAACATTTCGTCATGCCTCTGGTACTTGTTCTGACAGCTCTCACAATCTTGATTTCAAGTAAACTGCTACCAAAATTAAAGGAAAGATGAAGCAATTAATTAGAAGCATATTGCAGTGTAATTATACACCAATATACTAAAGGAAAAACTGTCAAATAGTTACTCGAACTTTCATAAAAAGGTCAATTAAGTCCTTCTATAGGAGTGAGCTTATGATATCATCGTGCATGAAAAAAACGACTCTACTCCACATGGCGCATACAATGATTGTATACCGCACTTTCCGCTTATGTTGTTTTCCATATGGTGGTCTGGCCAAGTGGAAAACAAAATTTCGGTTGACGCCCAAAACTTGGCAGGTGCATATATTAAAAACTTCAGTTTTTATACCTACTTTCTCTGTTCCGAATTTGATTGCAAAAGATTCTAATAATCTATATAGACAAACAACAACATTGAAGCATTAATCCAGAAAGAATTTAGGATCGACTAACATGAGTCGATCCATGATATCGATGCAAAAAAAGAGAAGAAAGATAAAAGAAAAAAAGGATAAAATAAAAAGGATATGATAAAGATAAATATAAAATAACAATAATACAAGAATATAAGAAAGATAAAAGATAAAAGATACAAATAAAAGAGCAAGTGAAAAGGTTATCTTCAGGTACACGAAAACCGCAAACACAAAATTGATTTTTTATTTTTGGTTAGATCAAGAAAAATAAGGGAATGGAGCGTGGGATTAGCAAGAATGAGTACATCCCAAAGATCCAAACACCCTCAGTTAAAAATAGATTAGACTAGATATCGACTATTGCAAAATATATATAGAATAGAAACCTACGAGACCAATTCATATTGGATCACAAAAATCTAAGATCCAGTTAAAAACATCCTAAATCTCATTAACGTACAAAGTCAACTAAGGAAATAGAGCAAGTACAAAATCAAATAATTTTTTAATTGATCACATGTTGAAAGTTGAATATTTTCCCCTCATTCACCCTAAAAGGCTAAAATTGTTTCTTTTCAAACCAAATCAGGGCATCACATCCCCTCCAAAAACATGGAACCAAACATGCCCTTACACTAGAAACCCATAAGAAACTCTACAGATATTGCCAATGAGTCAAACATTTCATAGAAATATCGAGAGCAAATGATGATATTCATGTCTCTGTTTAAGTAAACAAGAGAACAAAGAAAATGTACTACTCCATGTAATTAGTTAATACCTTAGACTACAGACATAAATAACCGCATCTAGAACTCCTTTTGTCTATCCCACAACAAAAATGCCTACAATTTCACGCGCAGTTCAGTAATAAACCCAAGAGCTACGCAGTTTTCCGGTTTTTGTGACACCCCTCCCTGTTTGTATCATTCTTCATGGCGATTCCACTTGTACACAAGAACTCTCAAGCCAAGCTTCTATAAGACCCAAGCTGATCAAATTGAGGAACGAAAAAAGTGGGTCCCACAAACTTGTTTCCGCAGTTACAGAATAGGTGCTATATCGGCCAATCATATATCATCATGGTGCCACATTTACAGCAGTAGGTGGTACATCAGCAACAACAGATGAAGTCTCTGACTGTGGGGTACCTATCTCAGATATTCCAAATTCATGAAGCATACTCTCCACACCCCAATCGATGGCGCCTATAAAGAAGATCATGAAATTTAGATTTCAAAATAAATTATAGGATTATCTTGCAGTAAAAAACATGGTTATCAACTTGAAATAAGGATACCATCTGCCTTCCACATATCGGTTAAGCTAACATCAGCATCTGAGAGGAGCCAATAATCTGCTGCTTCATTCTGTTAGGAAAATTAATATTTCAAACCATGAATATTATATGGTACATGGTGACTGAAGGGAAAGGTACAGAAAGAGTTGCATGAACTATTCAAACAAAACCCACAAGTCATCATTAGTATGATGTACAAAAAAATACATCATTTTTTATTAGAAAATGGAAACAGTTAGAAAACTAGGTTAGAGCTTAGTAGACAAATGGTTCACTAATTGTATGCCTTTTCACTTACATCCGCATCTGAAGGAACAATTTTGGTCATTCCACCATTCAATTCCTGTGAAGCACCAAGATCGCAGCTTACTTGACTGTCATCATATGTTTGCGATCCATTATCTGGCAAACTGGTTGTCATAGTTGATAAATCCACCGACAGATTATCATTTGAGCTTGAACTTGAGGCAAGCGGGACACTCATTGATGGTTCAACAACACCAGTCATCTCCTCAAATTTCTCCTCAAATTGACTAAATAAAGATGGAGTTGACAACAATTTGAGATCAGAAAGAAAACGTGCATTCTAATACAATGCTCCACCGAAAATGGGAAGGGTTGTGGCTTTAAAGTTTTACCTGACAAGATAGACATCAATTGGACCCATTGTGCTTCTGAGAATTATTCTGTATCTCCTTCTAGGGTAATCTACTGCCTGTTATAGTCAATTTAAAAAAGCAAAATTTATCAGCCATTACCAACATATAGCAAAGATTAGGATAGACTTTTTTTACTTACCTCATCAGGCTCAGGGACTTCCAAAGTGGTCCCATGTGGAGCTTTAATTGCTATCAGGGTTTCATTCTGTCAAACCAACAAGCATTAAGGTTGGTACCTGGTATGTTTGAATCCACAAGCATAAAAATACTCTGCAACACTGATGTCTAATATTGGGAAACCATCATTATCATCACCACCACTCCCACCTTCATACCAACTATAATGGGGTTCAGTGGCATAGAAATTTTGCGTCTTAAAGCAGTTTGCACTATATAACCCCATTGATACACACCAAAACCCAACATCACTTGCATGGAATGATGGAAAGTTTAAAGGGAACAAAATCTAGGAAGACATGTTTTATTAGGTCCACATAAAAAATTGTCAAAAATAAGGGTCTCCCTGGAATTGGTCATCATGAAAAGGGGAATGAGCTGAATGGTTGCTATATGAATATACAAAAGTATACCTGAAAGCAAGGTAGACTTTTGATATCCTCTTCAGTCACAAAAAGCCATCTACAAAAAATCATAGTTGAACAGCAGCATCAGTAAAAATGTTACAAAGTGGAGATAATTTGTGTTCAGAGCAGTGTGTACCTTTTGTCATTTTCATTTTCACTTAAACCCCTTAATTTTTCCTGCATTCCTCTGCAATTATCGAAGATCAAGTATCAAGACAATGGTTTGCATCAACGGACTTGAGTACTAAAGTATCTGACAACTATTTACCTGATACGTTCATCCAGTCTTTGTTCTTCCCAGCAAAGGTTTTGAACTTCTGCCTGAAGACAGAAATAAACAGCTGAAAAATAGCTTGAGTTTTGAAAAGGAAAATATTTGCATTTTAGTGCTTTACAAATATTTGTCTTTTGAAAAAGAAAATTCAATATATTAATGTTTTACATGTGATGTTTTACATAAACAAAGGATTACAATATCACTGCATTGGCAATACTGATGCCACCAAAACACATCATGCAATAAAATAAAAAGCTGTCAAATTAGGTAATAGCAGTCTTCCCACATACCCGTAAAATTGTGGCATCAGAACCAACATCTCCAGGCCCTGAAGCATCAACTCCCCTATGCAGGACCTTAATGCTCAGCACAGTTGAATTTTCTTTTTCCATTTATGGTAAAGAAAAACTTATTCAGACAAAAGTAGCTTACTTCCATTGGATTCTGTTTTTAAGCTTCTTTTCAATCAAGCCAATTCCCTCAAGAACGTTCGTTATGTCATATATACGTCTCTTTTGCACCTGCACAATAAACTTACGATTAGAACATTTGTAAATGTGCATATGATATGACACAACCTAAGCAAACAGATACCTCCAAAGTGTCAGCAGCATTGTTAAGATCAATCATACCATCTTCAGCATCCTTGATCAGGTTGATAAACTTTTTTGTTAAAAGTCCTGAAATACATTCAAGTATGCTAGTGCTTTGAGTTTCATTCAATAATTCTATGTAACTAAAATCCCAAATGATAGAGTGATGTGAAATCACCTAAGGAGCTGTCATAGCGGCAGCTTGCAGGAGTCAGAGGAGAAGGACATCCTGTAAAATGAAAATGTGTTTTGTTATATGTTTTTATGTATTGACAAATAAAAACAAGTACGAGCATTTGTTCACAGAAGTAAAAATATGGTATCTTTTAATAAAGAATGTCTCTCACCAGCACTGGACACAGGTGTTGCCGGTCCAGATCTGTTATTGTTTGAAGCTTTTGGCCTCCCGTATGCCTTTCCCCCTTTTGCAGATACAGGTGTTAGGAGGGGACTGTTGACCATATCAGTGCACCCAGGACTAGCACTCCATTCACTGGACTCAGCTACATAAGAACTCGCTCTACCCTTTCGCTTGAATGCCTGAAAAAAGCAACATATTGCAGTGTCAAAATAACTAAATAAGTAAGCAAACGGGTAATTGAACAATGTAATGATCCATTGTAATAAACTGGTTGTGGAAGTCTAGTTTCCTCCCCACACTAACAAAACTTAACTTTCTCAATGATGGAAGCAGAACTCATCATTATATTGTAAAATATCAATCAAAGAGTAAGCCGATAACAGCTAAGCAATGTAAAATGGGATGATAACATCAAATGGTCAACAGTCAAATTACTTAAAAGGAGCATGTTTCTAAGTATAATGGAATTGTGTGTTGTTATAGTTGTATGTTCCTCCCTAAAGTAGATCATTTCCAAATGAAAGTCAATATTACTCCAGTTACAATATCCTACGGTACCAGATTCAGCCTATGACCATGATGCATATTTTAAAAAAATGCATCCTAAAAACCTGTGACAGAAAGTCGCAGCCTGTAAGAAAGGTGTGTTTGATTACTTGCACTGTCCCATTTTATTTGTATATGATATCATTTTAGTTGAAAGGAAATCTTGGCCTACGGGTTATGGTGTTGCTCTGTGACCAAGATGTCATGACTTCAAATCTTGGGAGCGGTCTCTTGTTAACTTGCCAAGGGAAGGCTTTCTCCTTATACACCCTTGTGGTGGGACCCTTCCCTGGACTCTTGCCTTGCGGGGACACCAATATGCACCCAGCTTCCCTTTATGATATCCTTTTAGTTGTTACTAAAATAATGTCAACTATCTTAATTTGAATACTATTACGCTTTTTTTTCAATAAATTTCTTTCCAGTGATTTTTATAAATGATTTGCCACATTTATCCCCACTTGAGGGATCATTTTGGAAAGTGAAGTAGATTTCACTTGTTTTTATTGAATATCATGTTCAAAAGTACATGATCCTTAAAATTTGGGGCAGATGTAGTATTGCTCTATTAGCTGTGGGGCACTTTGAAATACATTTTACTTCTTCTCATTGAAGTATTAATAACATCATGAATGCATGATTCAATAACATCCAAAAATCAAGCATTTTTATTTTGTGCATAGTTTTAGCTTCTACAGTAGCACAATGGCAAGTATCACCATATCAGTATCAGACAATACATTTGTATAGATGGACTCTTAATTTTTTTTAATTTATATCTAAGACATGCAGGAGATTCAGGAAACAACATTGTCATCGTGTGGCCAGATGGACACTGTTTCTAGATCAGTCTATTATAGTGAATCATATTTGGAGTGGGATGTTTCATCCATTCAACAAACTAACAATTTTTTTTTACCAAAAACAACACAAACTACCATATGAAGTCTTTTTTACCCAATTCAATTTATTTTCTTTGGTGTCTATCCGAGCACCGTACTGACTACACTAAAAATAGAACAAAAACTTTGCAATCTTGAAGTGGTTTTACGAACGATATCACAGATATTACAAAGAGTTTTATAATGAGCACCTTAGCTCGAATCAGATTACCTAGAAATCTATTGATTAGTTATAATTTACATATCAGCTAATATCCAACTAACATCTCATCAGAAGCCTATATATCTAATAAAAGAGGATGCTAACAAAATAGCGCATCAGAAATCAGAATGCTCTCATGGAGCCATAGTGAATGCATTTGAATGCCTACTTATATAATAGAAACAGTAAATTCCATATTTACATCGAATTCTATCAATCTACTAATTGGATTTAGATCACCTGAGCTGAAAAAGACATTTCTCATACAACCATACTTACACTCACATTTACTACAATTCCCACACACAATTCGAGTTTTCACAGAAATATAATCAAAAGCACAAAACACATTACAACAAAAGGAAGCTCACAGGGGACTTGACAATAAGCGCTTCTGCCTGATGACCAATTCCGGTTGCAAACCCGGCATCAGCACCAGGGGTGGAGAACCTGTGATAGTCTTCTGGGGGTAGAAACGGCGGCTTCATAGAAGCAAAGGCAAGGTGACGCCTGGTTGGCCTTGGGATCTGAGCACCGGGAACTCCGTTAGTGGTCTGTGCAGCCGCCGCCGGAGGCGGAGGCGCCGCCGCTTTGGTCGGAGTTCCAGAGCCAGACATGAGTCTAAATTTTCAAAATTGAAGATCCAATTCTGCTGGAGGTGGCGATCCGATAGAAGATTACAGATGGTTTTGTTGTGCTGAGGAAAGGGTTTGAGGGTTTGGCTGGGGCGGTCAGAGAAACAGGCCAAGAAAATGAGGGAAGGGAGGGAATTTTTTTGTTCAGAAGTTGTGGAGGGAATAGCTATAAGTGAAAAATATAAAAACCGAACCTTTGATAGATGAAATACGGAGTATGGTAGAAGTGTTTTCTTTTTACTTTGGCCCTGGTCTCTTTCATACCTCTAGGCTCTAGCCCAATTTAAGAGACCGGAATAAAAGCTCATGCAAATTTTAAACAAAATAAGCTAATTGAGAACAAGTTTGTAGTCCCTGCGGGGATATCCGATAAAATCGAAACGATACACAGAACAAGTTTGTATGATAGCTCTTTTTACTAGTTTGGATTATACTCGGCTTATCAAATTAAGAACTTTGCATGATATTTATTCCATTCCAAATGTGGTAAGTTTCGTATGACTCGTTTAGGTTAAACTCCGTACTTGGAAAAATGATTTGAAACCAGGGACGGAACTACATATTGGGTGAGGGGGGCCATTGCCCCTCCCAATTTTTTATTTTTTAAATAAAAATATTACTATTACAAAAAATTGCCGCCGCCCCCCCCCCCCCCCCATAAAATTAAGGAAGATTCTAGTACTACCAAATTATATGGCTTTTTAAGAATACTTATCCTTAACGTTCAAAAAAAAAAGAATACTTATCCTTGGCCTATTATCATTATATGAAAACTAATAATACATATTATTAGATGTCCTATTAAATTATATATAATACTCCGTAATATGTATTATATACTACGTAATACTCCCTCTGTCCCTTAAAACTTTACCAACTTTTCTTTTTAGATATCTCATTAACTAACTTTGTCACTTTCCCCTTTAAGTAAAGAATTTGTGGTTCCAGTTAATACTCTCTCCTCTGCACAAACCTCAACCACACAACTTTTACTTTAATAAACCTGGTGCCGATCAAACTTGACAAAGTTTGATGGGACGGAGGGAGTACTTGATAAGTATAATACTGCAAATACAAGTGGAAAACATACTTGTGCAAGATTTTTAATATATATGATTAATTTTATGATTAAATTTGTATACTACGTAGTAGATAATAATATTTTATTAATGAGAAAGTAAAATATTTTCTACTTTACAAATTTAATCATGTATATATATATACAAATATTGTGTTGACCGGGTTAACCCTCCGGGTCTGGGTTGACGCTTGACCCGATCATTTGTCCTGGTCGCCTCCCGGTCCGGTTGTTTAAACATAGATTATACTCCGCCCCCCTCATACTAAAGTCTGGCTCCGCCCCTGTTTGAAACTAAACTCAATCATTTTGTATTTGAATAAGAGGCCATCGTCCGGAACTAATCAAAAGTTGCTGGAGTTAAGTGTAAGCCGAATAAAGTAGAGAATGCTATGTTCAAGGAGCATTCTCGATGAGCTAGCGTGATTTCCGTAGGAATTTCTTAGAAAGAGAAGGAATTTGAACTTTAATGAAATTGTTTGAACAGAAATGCTTACGGAAGAAGAAAATAATATTTCATCATTCATACGTAAAAACTATACGAACGGGTTATTTATAGCTTCCACACCCAACTAACCAACTTCCCAACTTCTTGTTAGTTAACATTCTAACTAACGGAACGCGTCATCTAACTACCCCATATAACTACAGGTGTGATCCACATGTCAGCTATAAAAAATACAACCCCCTAATAAGAAGGCTGTCCTCAAGCTTCAAGCGAGCGGCTCACACAATCTGGGAACTCTTTTTGCTAACAGGTGGATAGTGAAGTAAGATCTTTCGTCTAGCATCACCCCCCACCCCCACCCCCACCCCCACCCCCACCCCCCACCCCCACCCCCACCCCCACCCCCAATAAGAGGCTCAAGTGTATAAAAATCCACCCCCTAATAAGAAGCTCTTCATATTTTTTTATTTTTAAAATAAAAATATTACTATTACAAAAAATTGCCCCCCATAAAATTAAGGAAGACTAGTACTACCAAATTATATGGCTTTTTAAGAATACTTATCCTTGGCCTATTATCATTATATGAAAACTAATAATACATATTATTAAGATGTCCTATTAAATTATATATAATACTCCATAATACGTATTATATACTACGTAATACTCCCTCCGTCCCTTAAAACTTTACCAACTTTTCTTTTTAGATATCCCATTAACTAACTTTGTCACTTTCCCCTTTAAGTAAGGAATTTGTGGTTCCAGTTAATACTCTCTCCTCTGCACAAACCTCAACCACACAACTTTTACTTTATTAAACCTGGTGCCGATCAAACTTGACAAAGTTTGATGGGACGGAGGGAGTACTTGATAAGTATAATACTGCAAATACAAGTGGAAAACATACTTGTGCAAGATTTTTAATATATATGATTAATTTTATGATTAAATTTGTATACTACGTAGTAGATAATAATATTTTATTAATGAGAAAGTAAAATATTTTCTACTTTACAAATTTAATCATGTATATATATATACAAATATTGTGTTGACCGGGTTAACCCTCCGGGTCTGGGTTGACGCTTGACCCGATCATTTGTCCTGGTCGCCTCCCGGTCCGGTTGTTTAAACATAGATTATACTCCGCCCCCCTCATACTAAAGTCTGGCTCCGCCCCTGTTTGAAACTAAACTCAATCATTTTGTATTTGAATAAGAGGCCATCGTCCGGAACTAATCAAAAGTTGCTGGAGTTAAGTGTAAGCCGAATAAAGTAGAGAATGCTATGTTCAAGGAGCATTCTCGATGAGCTAGCGTGATTTCCGTAGGAATTTCTTAGAAAGAGAAGGAATTTGAACTTTAATGAAATTGTTTGAACAGAAATGCTTACGGAAGAAGAAAATAATATTTCATCATTCATACGTAAAAACTATATGAACGGGTTATTTATAGCTTCCACACCCAACTAACCAACTTCCCAACTTCTTGTTAGTTAACATTCTAACTAACGGAACGCGTCATCTAACTACCCCATATAACTACAGGTGTGATCCACACGTCAGCTATAAAAATACAACCCCCTAATAAGAAGGCTGTCCTCAAGCTTCAAGCGAGCGGCTCACACAATCTGGGAACTCTTTTTGCTAACAGGTGGATAGTGAAGTAAGATCTTTCGTCTAGCATCACCCCCCACCCCCAATAAGAGGCTCAAGTGTATAAAAATCCACCCCCTAATAAGAAGCTCTTCATATTTTTTTATTTTTAAAATAAAAATATTACTATTACAAAAAATTGCCCCCCATAAAATTAAGGAAGACTAGTACTACCAAATTATATGGCTTTTTAAGAATACTTATCCTTGGCCTATTATCATTATATGAAAACTAATAATACATATTATTTAGATGTCCTATTAAATTATATATAATACTCCATAATACGTATTATATACTACGTAATACTCCCTCCGTCCCTTAAAACTTTACCAACTTTTCTTTTTAGATATCCCATTAACTAACTTTGTCACTTTCCCCTTTAAGTAAGGAATTTGTGGTTCCAGTTAATACTCTCTCCTCTGCACAAACCTCAACCACACAACTTTTACTTTAATAAACCTGGTGCCGATCAAACTTGACAAAGTTTGATGGGACGGAGGGAGTACTTGATAAGTATAATACTGCAAATACAAGTGGAAAACATACTTGTGCAAGATTTTTAATATATATGATTAATTTTATGATTAAATTTGTATACTACGTAGTAGATAATAATATTTTATTAATGAGAAAGTAAAATATTTTCTACTTTACAAATTTAATCATGTATATATATATATACAAATATTGTGTTGACCGGGTTAACCCTCCGGGTCTGGGTTGACGCTTGACCCGATCATTTGTCCTGGTCGCCTCCCGGTCCGGTTGTTTAAACATAGATTATACTCCGCCCCCCTCATACTAAAGTCTGGCTCCGCCCCTGTTTGAAACTAAACTCAATCATTTTGTATTTGAATAAGAGGCCATCGTCCGGAACTAATCAAAAGTTGCTGGAGTTAAGTGTAAGCCGAATAAAGTAGAGAATGCTATGTTCAAGGAGCATTCTCGATGAGCTAGCGTGATTTCCGTAGGAATTTCTTAGAAAGAGAAGGAATTTGAACTTTAATGAAATTGTTTGAACAGAAATGCTTACGGAAGAAGAAAATAATATTTCATCATTCATACGTAAAAACTATATGAACGGGTTATTTATAGCTTCCACACCCAACTAACCAACTTCCCAACTTCTTGTTACTTAACATTCTAACTAACGGAACGCGTCATCTAACTACCCCATATAACTACAGGTGTGATCCACATGTCAGCTATAAAAATACAACCCCCTAATAAGAAGGCTGTCCTCAAGCTTCAAGCGAGCGGCTCACACAATCTGGGAACTCTTTTTGCTAACAGGTGGATAGTGAAGTAAGATCTTTCGTCTAGCATCACCCCCCACCCCCAATAAGAGGCTCAAGTGTATAAAAATCCACCCCCTAATAAGAAGCTCTTCATATTTTTCCCATGTAACATCTTTCTTGTTCTCATTCATCCATTGTATATTAACCAATATACAATTGCTCAATTGCCCACTTTAGCTATCTTCCTATCAAGCACTACCAACGGCTCAACACTCGACATTCCCATTTCATCAACATTAAGAGAGACATCCTGGTGTTTCTTTAAATAAGATACGTGAAAGACAGGGTGTGTTTTAGCATGATCTAACAATTCCAACTTATATGTCACATGTCCCCTTCCATGAACTCACGATCAGTTCTCTTATTCTCAGCCTACACCTTCCTCGTGTCTTAAGATCGTTATTGTAACATCCGGCTCTGTAGGGCCTGAGGTAGTTACTCCTCAATATTGTCCTCACAACCCAAACACCGGCTTTTATCGCACATTTTGTCCTCATTCGTGCACACCCTGAGAAATTTTCGGGGAGGCACTGTAACACCCCAAAATCCGGTCTAGCTGGAAATTATAATAAAATGACAATAATGGATAGATTTTTGTTTCTAGACATTTTTAAGTTAATATTTAAAATAATAATACGTAAATGCTAGGGAATTTATGGTTAAATGGGCCGCAAGTTTAAACAAAAATTTGTCTTG